GCCACCGTATCGCTCGACGTGGCGGGCAAAGTGAAGCGTGCCTGGCGGGCCCTGCGCCTCCACGGCGGTAATGGGCCCCTCCCTGCTCCCCTGCGCCGCCTTCTTCCAGCTCTTGCACCTCTCTCCCACTTCGTCGTAGTCGACCCACAGCGTTCGGACGTCCTCGTCCGAAGGGGCCTGCTCAGCAGCGCGCGGGGCAGCCAGGGCGGCAGGCCCTGCGGCGCCAGAGAGCCCCTCATAGCGCGCCCTCAGCGCCCTCACGAACTCCACGCAGTCGCGGCGCGGGACCGCCTGGACACGGAAGAAACTGCCGTGCCTGTAGACCAGGCCGTTCGACGCCGTGATGATCACGTCACCAGCGCGAGGAGTGGCCTCCATGCCCAGCGTCTCGTGGCCATCGGCGTTCTCGGTCGCCGGCCAGACCAGATCCTCGCGGAGGGCTGGGCGCTCGGGCAGCACGGCCAGGTAGGGCGCCACGGCCTCGCCCGCGACTGGCCTGGCATCGCCGCCAGGTGGCGCCGCCTCAGGCGGCAGGGGCAGCTCGGGGGCGGCGCCCCCGTCGTCAACAACGACCGCCCCCGCGCCGCCGCCCCCCGCGCCAGCAGCGCCCCCTCGGCGGAGCCGTCGGTCGACGAGGCCAAGACGCCGCCCTCCGTCACGAAGTGCAGCAAGGCGGGGGGCTCCTGCCCAGCGGCCCGCATCCTAGCCACAGCCTGCTGGGCCTCGCGGCGGGCGCGGTCATCGCTGGGGCATGCGCCGCCTGCGAACCGATAGAACCTGCCGCGCAGGGCGCGAGGGCAGGGGCCAGCCAGGTCGAGCATCACGATCCTTTCGCCCTCGCCCGCCTCCATGGAGATGTCTTCCTCATAGAAATCCCCATCGGGTGTCAGGATCCACCGCTTGGCCACGACTCCCGCATCATCGCGCAGCCCAGGGCCCATCACAACTCTCTCATGCCAGAGGTCCTCGCCAGGGTACCTGATGGCCACGATCCGTCCTGGGAGCAAACTACTCGTCAACTCCTGCACCGAAAGTGGCCTTCCTGTGTCCCCGAGCCGCTCTCGACGAGACACTACCAAAGCCATGTCGCCAAGCGCAAGCCCAACGCCAGCCGCAGCAGAGCACGAGGATGCAGGACTGCCCAGCACAGATCGAGAAGGCCGCGACGAGGACGAGGCGAGTGCCCCGCTCCGTCGAGTCGCAGGTCAGCTCACACACGCAGCCCTCGGACCGTGCCCGTCGAATGATGTCCTCGACCAAGCCGATGTTCAGAGAGGACTCAGAACAGGAGACCTCCACCCTCGCAGCAAGCACGGGCGACGGCTCCCCCACCACTTTCGGCGACGACGGCGCAGGATTTCGATAGCGACGAGACGCCAAAATCCAGTATTGCTGAGCGCGAATCCAATAACGAATTACCGGAACTTGCACGCTGATTCAACCGTGCACGCGTGACTCCTGATGCCGGAATCAATCCCTGGATTCCAGTATTCCAGTAAGGACCGGCTCTGCTACCTCGCTACCGGCTTTGGGCGGTCGCGGATGATCTGGGCCCTCGAGACCCCTGGGCAGAGGGTGGTGCAGCGCGCCTGAGCTCATGCGGCAAGCCGCCCAACGGAGTCGGGGGCCTATCCCAACGCACATCCAGCCAGGCGAAGGCATCAAAGAGCCCTGGCCGAGAGGCGAGGGCCCCCTCGAGGTCTGCCCGCCAGCTCTCCCTGGATGGGCGGTCCCCGCGCGGCCGCGGTGAAGGTCTCGGGGGTGGGTCCCCCTGGTAAGTGGCAAGCATCGGGGGCTCTGGCGATTCGAGGCCTCCTCGCGGCTCCGAGCCCGACGTGGGTTCGAAGGGGCCCGACGGCTCCTCAGAGAGGGCCCAAGCGTCGCAAACTCGAGCGACGCGCCTGCGCCCGCCCGGCGAGGGGCTCTCTGCAGGGTCCAGACGACGGCTGCGCGGTGCCTGCGCGCGCCGCCGCTGGGGGGGCGCGCATTGCAGGCGCCATCCTGCATTGGCCCCCTTTGCAATTGCCAGTTGCCGTGGGCCATGGGCGGCGAGCGGCGCCGCGGCGCTCTCCAAAGGGGGGGCGCTTAATATCCGCCGTCTAAGGGCTTCCCCTTTCCGCCCTTGCTGCCCTTGGACTTGCCGCCCCCCGTCTTGCCCTTCCGGGAGGCGGCGCTGTCGTCGTGGCCCCGGTGCCGCGGCCGCCTCCCCACGAGCTCCTGGTTGACCCGCGCCTCTCTCGCGACTGCGACGGCCTCGTCGCGCCCCAGGAGAGGCGCCTCTTCCTCGGGCATGAGCTCGAGGAGTTGTGCGTTCATCCAGCCGCCGTCGTGCAGCGCCCTGTCGATCGCCTTGAACCTCTACGACGTCGGCGGCCTCCTCGGGCCTCTTCGTCGCCAGCAGGTTCACGACGAGGGCCAGGGTGCGCAGCTCCCGCCGGTCGCGCAGCGCCATGCGGGTGACCGAGGTCGGAACCATCCCCGTCAAGAAGAAGGAAGTCGCTGCCGGAGGCGTCGGATTCGGGTCGCCCCGGCTGCCCAGCTGGGCGCGCGCGGACCCCCCTCCCCGCTGACGCCGGCTGCCATCTTGAGCAGGAGCCGCGCGGCCAGCCGTCCTGGATGACGCTGGGAGTAAAACGCCAGCTGGAACTGCTGGCTCCCGCTGGCGGAGGAGGGGGCCTCCGGAAAACCCGACCTCGACCCAGAGCGGGAACGGCGCCCCCGCCTCGATCGCGACCGAGACTCCGAAGAGGAGAATGCCGCCAACGAGCCAGCTCCGTAGGGGCCCCGGTCGCCACCTCGCCGGCGACGGCGGTCGCGCCCCCCTCGGCTGCGGGCGCAGTCGCGGCTGCGGGTGCGCCGAGGAGCTGGAGAGCGGGCGCGCCGGGCGTCAGGCGCCTCGCCAGCAAACGCCGCCGGCACAACTTCGGCCGGGTTGACGTCACCACCTCCAGCCGGGCGGCCAGCAGCGGCGCGACCACCGCGCCTCGGCGACCCGGCGGTGCCGCCGAACAGGATGGCCTGTCCTGTCCCCTTTCGCCTCTCGGGCGGCGCGCGGAACGCTTGCGCCCCCTCCCGCGGGCATCATCAGCAAGGTCACGCCGAATATCCTCGAGCCGGCCAGCGAATGGGGCTGCCTCGGCCGGACCGCGGGGCTGGGCTCCTGGAGGCGCAGGCCGCCCGCCAAGAGCGTCGTCGAAGAATTCGCCATCGTCGCCGCCTGCCGGCACGCCCCCGAGCGGCAGGATCTCCTGGCGGTCCCCGTCGAGGCCGCCAAGGTACACCTCGACGCGTTCGGCGGCTATGCCGCGGGAGGCCCACTTGACCACACCCGCGGTCAGCGCCGACACCGACAGCACCCTGATGTAGCCGAAGTGCAGCGCGTAATCGGCGTCGGCCTTGACGCTTTGGCACGCCGCCGGCTCACCTCGACAGAGGTGGTACCACGCTGGGCTAGGCGGCCTGTCCGGCGAGTCCATCATGCACCAGTCGTAGTACTCGTCGCTGGCCGCAATGTACTTCGCCTCGAGCCACCGGCCTCTGGACGACGCAGTGGACGTGCTCGTGACTTCGAGCAGCATCGTGCCCTTCGGGTCGCCAGCTTCGTCCGTGCAATGGACCTCCACGACCTGGCCCGATCGCACCACGAAATGGTCGAAAAAGTCCGGGTCGGCAACCGCATCGAACCATGGCCCGATGGGTGGTGGCATCCCTCCGGGCCAGTGCCTCGGAGGCACGCTGGATGAGGAGAGCTCGGCCCGAGGGCCTATACGCTAAAAGATCTCGGCCCTGTGGCCGGTAGCTGGTTTGGCGCCCAGGCTGAGCTGCGGTCGCGCGGGCGGCCGCCGGGCGGGGGGCGCGCGCGCGAGGCAGTGAGCCTCGCTCGCACTTGAAAAAGCTGCGGAATCGACGGCACCGCGATAGACCCGCTCTTACCTCCTGTCGTCGGGGCGGTGCTGATTTCTATACATAACACGGACAGCCGTGAACCCGATAACACAAATAACAACAGCAACAAAAACAGCAACCAAACAACACACAACTAACAAACAAACAACCCAGCAAACGACCGAACAAGCAAACGAATGCAAAACCAACAACAGCAACCGTAACACCAACAACTCCTCCTCCTCCTCCTCCTCCTCTTCACGATCTCTTGAGACGCCTCGCCCTCGACACTAGGAATCAAGCTCTTGTGGCCAAACTTTCTCGCCCATTTCCTCTTCGTCCCTTCTTCTCCTCTTCCTCCTCCTCCCCCCTCCTCCTCCTCTTTCCCCTCCTTCTCCTCCTTCAGCCCGCTAAGCCCGCGGCTGCCCATCGCGTGTCCGGGCTCCGTGTCGCTCCATCGACGGGCTCCGTGCCGCTCCCTCGACAGCCATCTCTGGTGGGGATGGGGGCGGTCGTGGCGGCAACCAGTGTATGTGATATCGCGCGTGCCTTATTACACGAATTGGTAGTCGACAGAATGTACGATTTATATGAATTATACATACAATGGTGACATCATCCTAATATCATAGCAATGCCCAAGTCTTATCATAATACTTAGATCATATTATAAGACTTGAGTCGTTTTTCGCGGGTCCGCCGCTTAGTTTGGCAAGTGGAGGACCTCTGGGTCCTCCGCAACGAACCAGGCGGAACCGGAGCGAAACGCATGGCGAACAGGGCCGAGACGGACGGCCCCCCTGAAAACGACGAACCGAACCGAATCGAACCAGAACATTCCGACGCCGAACCGAACCGAACCGAACCGAGCCCACTTCGGAACTTAACCGAACCGAGCCGAACCGGACCCTTCCTGAGATTGGGATCTGGGAGCCCAGCAAAACAAAGCCTACGTATAACAAACGATAGGTATGTTCACATGCCGCTGCTTCTTCTTCGACACCTGCTGGCAGCAATCGGAAGAGTCCTGCGCCAGCTCCCGCAAGTTCTCCACCGCGGCTCGCTGCACCTCTGCGCACTCGTCGAACACGGCCGCTTCCGCCATCTGCTCCGTCTTATCGGCGGCGGCCCTGCCCATCGCCCGCAGAGCCAGCGCCGCAGACACCCGGACCTGGGAGAAGAGAGCACAACATCGCTGACATCTTTCCTTTGCGAACAAAAACGCGACGGAATGCTCAACCTCTGGGACCGCCAAAAAAACGACTCAGGATGAAAAGCCAATCCCGGGGAAGGGTTCCAGATCTCTGAGAAGCTGGAGGTCAACAAAAACGTCGGTTATAGGATTGGCATTAAATTTCCGATGTCCACGTGGACTTGTTGGGTCGACGCTGGGGGGCTGATGGGGCATCACTGGGTCCAGCCGTTAGACCAGGATGATGATCCATTGCATACAATTTCCGATCCGAAATTCCTCTGGGCCGCCTTCTTCAGATAGGCATTGGATGCCGAATTTGTCACCTTCCCCCTTGTGACCGGTTGCGTTGCTGCCCATCCAGAGCAGGCCCCCAGGCCGCCTCCAAAACACAGCGATGAAATAGATGTTCCGGGCTCCGCTCGGACTGTTTGAGCCGGCGCTGGACATCCCTTCCCTGGTGCGCGGAGCGCGCCATGGGCGGCGACAGAGGCTCCGCCAGGGGGTCCAGCGCCGACCCATAAGATCTGCACGGACCTCCGAGAGTTCACGTTTACATTGTTTAGTGTTTCGTCGTTCGAGGGACAGCGCCGAAGAGTGACGCCAGGCAATGATGACCTCTGACGAACAGACAATCACACTCCCATACCCATAGGGGGGACGGAGGAGACCATGGGGGCGTGTTGTCGGATGAAGTCTCCGCTCGAACGGGAGCCTCCAACGGGATCCGACAACCCGCGCCCATATCCATAATTGGCCAGTCCTCCTCCCTCCAACCCATTCCGTCGTTAGCTCGTCGCGGGTGGGGCATCTCGGCGGTGCATGCCTCCTCCAGCAAATAATGCTCGAACAAAACACCGAAGAGAGTGCATTGCTAACTGAGCATTATAAATTATTCTTCAAAGGGGCTCCGGGCCCTCCGTTCCGCGCGGGTGTCTTGGGTCGGTTTCGGTGGCAACTGACTGACGGCTGTCGAAGCCTATCGAGTCTAATCGATACTACGTCGACGCTGATCGACGCTAAATGGGCGCTCCCCCTTCGGTTAACTTTACCAGACGCTAGCGCACGTTCGTGCACTGCTGAAGACGGCATCGCGAGCACACGCAAGGCTCCCATGAGTTGCTACCGAAGGTCGGGCGACCTCCTCGTCGGGGTCGTCGCGCAGCGACGCAGCCAGGCTGTCCGCCGCGAGCACGGCGGCCCCGCCCTGCAGCGCCAACGCCTCCGCAGCCGCGCGCCGCCTCCGGCTGCACGTAACGAGTGACACTTGGCGAGAGTGACCGTTGGTGCGCGACTTTCAGGGGCAGCGGGGGTGCCAAATCTAAGCGCGCAGGCCGCTTCAAGCCAGTGCTGGGGTGATCCCTGTGGGCCCACACCAAAGGTCACTCTGGCGAAGGGTTCGTCGTCGTCGGCGTCGTCGTCGTCCGTCGGCAGTCGTCCAACGTCTGTCGTATCGTTGTTGTCGTCGTTATCGTTATCGTTATCGTTATCGTTATCGTAGTCGTCGACGTCGACGTCGTCGTCGTCGTCGTCGTCGTCGTCGTCGTCGTCGTCTTCGTCGTCGTCGTCCGCGGCCGCAGCGCCGGCGCCTCCCGGCCGCGTCCGCGCTGCCGCGCAGCGCCTGCGTGAGGTCGACCACGTGCAGCCCGCGCCCTGCGCCGAGCGCGACCAGCCCGGCGCCGGCCGCCGCGCGCACCTGGGCCTGCGAAGGGCAACGACAGGGGGCGAGGAGGAGGAGGAGCGGGAGGACGAGGAGGGGGTCGAGGAAGGGAGGACGAGGAGGGGGGGGGGTCGAGGAGGAGGAGGAGGAGGAGGAGGAGGGGCTTTTCAAGACGAGGAGAAGGGCTCTTTAAGCCAAGTCTGGCCCTCAGGCCGCAGCACCTCCCATCACGTAGTGTGACTCCGCCCGTGGGCGAGGAGGAAAGGGGAAGGATGACGAGGAGGGGGAGGAGGAGAAGGAGGGGGAGGAGGAGGAGGAGGGGGCGGAGGAGGAGGATGAGGAGGAGGAGGAGGACGACGACGACGAGGAAAACCAATGCAAGCCCGAGATGCATCAACGATGTTGCAAAACAACCCTGCCTCTACGTTCTTTCTGCATAACCCTCCCAAAATACTCTCATTGTGGGACGGGCCCATTAAAAGACAATCGTGTGAGAATCTTCAACCGTGCCAAAACACAAAGCCGCGGATTAACGTGACTGCTGCGTCCTGACAGTCCTAAATCGCGCCAGACGCCATGAGCCTGCTTTTTCATTTTCTGGGATAGCGGCCGTCATCGGTCCCGCCCCCCCCCCCCCAAAGATGACGTCACGTTCCGCGCCGGCGGCGTTCAGGAATGCCTCAAAATGACCGAAGCCAAGTAGGAGCAACATGTTGGTGACGACCTGCACCACAGCGCCTGTGTAAACTACAGGTGCTCGCATGCACCACAGCGTGGGAGTTCACCACAGCGCGCGTGTACACCACAATTCCTCAACGCTTGCGTACACCGCAACAGCCGTATGCAACGCAGCGCCTGTGTACACTGCAACCTGCGTGCACTACAATGCCTGGGGGAGCATGGGGGAGGAAGAGGAGGATGAGAAAGAGGAAGAGAAGGAGGAGGAGGAGGAGGAGGAGGAGGAGGAGGAGGACGGGGAGGAGGAGGAGGAGGAGGAGGAGGAGGAGGAGGAGGAGGAGGGGGAGGAGGAGGAGGGGCAGGGGGAGGAGGAGGAGCAGGGGGAAGTGGCAGGCGCTGTGATGTACACCAGCGCTGCGTTGCACGCGGATGCTGTGGTGTACCCATGCTTTGTGGTGCGCGTTGCGTTGCACGCAAGCGCTGTGGTGCACACAGGCGCTGTGTTGCACATGGTTGCTGCGGTGTGCACGCTCGCTGTGGTGTACACAAGCGCCGTGGTGTACGCAACCTGCACGCTCGCTGTGGTGTACACAAGCGAGCAAAGAGGGGGGAGTGAAACAGAAAACAACTCCTCAAAAACGGCGGAAATGTTCAGAAACCCTGGCGCCTTCTGGGAGGTGTTCCGTGTCTCCGGGCAAAGCAAGTTTCCCAAACGGTATGGGGAACTTCCGAGCGTTCTGATACGGTTCGCGCAATGAGTGTTGGAAAAACTGTACCTCAAGGTGAACACAGAGGCGGGCAAAACCGGCCGTAAGGCGGCAAACCCATTCTGCGTGCGACGGCGGATGCAGACATTATGAACATCAATCGGCTGGATCCTGATTGGGAGGATGGGGTGAACCTCCGATCCGCACCATGATGGGCAGAGGTGAAGCAAAACTCCAGAGAACGCCTGTCGCAAAACAGTGATCTTGAGCAAAAAGGCAGAGAAAAGGCAAGTGACGGTGCCAGGGGGGAGGGTCGGAGTTTCACGAATGGCAGACCTCAATCGATGAATCGCCAATTGGGCGGGAAAGGCAAAAATACCCCCTTCCCAAAGGCGGGGTTAGGAGGAAAGGGCAAGGATACCTTGCACCCGACAGGAGAACCGGCAGAGATGGAAGGCGAATGTAAAAATGAATGATGGGTTCACCCATTCGCGGGCGGAATGGCAACTATACCAGCTGTCTCGGCAAAGCTACAAAAGAAGACTGCGCTTCGCTACGTGGACTGTTCGTGGCCTGACAAATGTGCAGCTGGCGGAGCGTATACGACATATGGGAACTCAGGGTATCCAGGAGGCACAGCGTCACGATATGACCAGTCAGGGAGTCGAGGCACACAGGGCGAATCGTCCCTGGATGGGCTGATGGGGATACGCGACCAGTGGTTCCTTGTACGCTAATTAAACCCGGGCGCGCCTTCTATCGACTGCCCCTGACCCAGGCGCCCCGGGAAACGGAAATAACTTACCCGCCGCCGAAATCAACATATAGTGCCGCTAGTGGTTGGGGGGGAGGAAGAGGGGGAGGAGGACAAGCTAGGTGCGCTCGCGTCATATCTGACGTCCTACCCCTCCCTCCCATCCCTTACCATGGCGCTGATTTTCTCTATCCGCGGACGCGTGTCGTAGCGGACTTGTGGCTCCGCGCGCGCGTGCGTAGTGGGTGGTGGTGCGCGTGCGTGCGTGCGTTGGTGCGTGCGTGTGTGGTTGTAGTGGTGGTGGTGGTGGTGGTGGTGGTGGTGGTGGTGGTGGTGGTGGTGGTGGTGATGGTGGTGCTGGTGGTGGTGGTGGTGGTGGTGGTGGTGGTGGTGCTGGTGGTGGTTGTGGTGGTGGTTGTGGTGGTGGTGGTGGTGGTGGTGGCGCGGCGCGTTGGTGGCGGGCGGATGGGCGCGCGAGAACGAGGCCCGCGATGGGGCGAGAACGCCATCCTGAACGACGGAGGCTAAACGCCGATCCGAAAATGAGGCCCACGCTGCAGCGGGAGCACGATTCGGAACGATTCGGGAGCAGAATTGAGGCCGGTGCCTCAGCGAGAGCAGCATTTTGACAAACAAAAAAAAACGAAAATCCGTTCCCCGGGAATCCTGTGTGTAAAAAACAATACGCGGGGGGGTGTCGGATATCTTCGGGACGCCATCAGGGGGAGTGGGAGAGTATTTTCATATTGTGTAATTGCGGAGGGGGAGGAGGAGTAGGAGTAGGAGTAGGAGTAGGAGTAGGAGTAGGAGTAGGAGGAGGAGGAGGAGGAGGAGGAGGAGGAGGAGGAGGAGGAGGAGGAGGAGGAGGAGGAGGAGGAGAGGGAGGAAGAGAGGGAGGAGGAGGAGGAGCGCAACGCCTCGGGAAGGTCTCCCGCCGCGCACGCGGGCGCGCGACGGACAACCCCCTGGCGCCGCCCACTCACGGCGCGGCGCCGTAAGAGCAGGAGGCAATGTAGAAGGGGAGCAACTGGAAGAATTCGCCCTCGAGGCCGCGGACGCAGGCCAAGTTGCCGTCGACGATGGAGGCGTCGCCGCCGAGGGAGACGCCGTGCCACCAGCCGACCACATAAAGGCAGCGAATCACGACATGGTCGATCAACGCGCCGCGTGGCTGCAAGAAGAAAACCCCTGCGGGGGCGGCGCTGCTGGGGTGCGTTGGGCACGAGGCGCCAGGCCCCTCTCGACGCGCCTGATCGCATCTTGCTGGTTGCGGCGCGTGGTCTCGTTAAGCGAGAGCCCATCGCACCTCGAGCCAGGCTTTCGCACTGCGCGGACATCTCCCGCAGCGCAGTGAGACCCGCAGCGCCTGCAACAGTAAACGTTGCTACCCCTGAACACGTCGCGCCCAAGCGCAGCGAAGGCGCCCCCGACCTCCTCGGCCAGGGCAGGTGGCAACAAGGCTGCGAGGGCCGAGGGCTGTGAGCTCCCTCCGGGCGCCAAGGCCGCGCCCAGGGCCATGCCGGCCCCCTGGTCGCTGCAGGGAACCCAGCCCTCGCCGGAGGCGCGGAAGTGCTCGGCGCTGAGAGGTCTGGCAACACGCGAAGGGCGACATGCACGATGAGAGCCAGTTTGCAGCGACTCGAGGGAGGGGCCCGTTGCGGCCGTGACCCCACATTGGGTGCATCGGCACCGCCCGGGGCTGGCGCAGTAAGCAAGGACATGGTCCGTGCTGCGGGCCACCACTCTGGGCCTGTCCTGCTCGCAAGGTTGCCTGGGGATCTCCACGTCGCATCCCCATTGTTTACGAGCCGCCGCCTGCAGTGCCGCCCACGAAATGAACTGCAGGACCTTGCGGTGCCGTTTCAGCGCAGCTGTTGCCGCCTCAGCTACCGACCCAGCCGGCGCGCGAGAGGCCGCGCCACAGCGCGCGAAGTAGTCGGCCCAGCCGTTGCCTAGCCAGCCACGCAGCTCCTGCGGCTCTGCGCCTATGAGCTCCTCCAAGGCCCTGTGCGCTGGCGCCCATCGGAACTTGGGAGTGCCCCGCAGAGCGCGCCTGCGGCTGGCCGCGAAGATGCCCCGCCACGCTCGAGCATGCTTGGCGCGACCCTGCTCGAGCTCGGGACGCCGGCGCCCTCCTTCCCGGGCGAGCGCCAGCAGGTCAGTGACGAAGCACTGGCGGTCACGGAAAGCGTCGAGCCCCTCCCCGACCGCGTGCCTCTCAGCACGGCCGACAGTCTGCACCGAGCACGGAAGGGGCCCGAACCGCGCCCTAACTGGGAGCCAAGAATAAGGACCAAGCTGCACAACAGTTTGTCCACGTCTCCGCACCTCGGGAACACCTGAAACGTAAACAGACCCGTCGGTGTAAGAAACGGGGCCCCAAACGCCATGGGCGTCGCCCCCAAGGCAAACACCATGCCTCCGCGCATCTGCGCGTGGCAGATAAACGGGGAGCTCGGGTATGCTGAAAACGAGGTAGGACTGCTCGAAGTTCGGCGTGCCTGATCCAAGACCCGCTTGGATAAGTTGGTCGCGCGCCTCAGCCAGCGCTTTTTTTTTGGGGGGGGGGGAGATGCTGCAGCCATTCAGCGTTGGCGTCGCTGTCTCGGGCCCGCCGTGCCCGCGCGGCGCGTCGGGCGCCGAGGCTGGAACCGCCGCCGCAGGGGGCACAGGGCCACTCTGTTCCGAAGCAACCGGTGGCGACCGCGGACACTCTTCGCGCCCAGCCGCGCCTCCCCCCGACGGCCGTCGCGCCCATCGGGCGGCGCGAGGGGGGGGGGGAAGGAGGAGGGGGGCGGGGGGGGAGGGGGAGGAGGAGGAGGGGGAGAAGGAGGAGGAGGAGGAGGAGGAGGAGGAAAAGGAGGAGGAGGAGGAGAAGGAGGGAGGGGGGGAGGAGAGGCGGA